TACTACTATCCTTATCAGAAGGGAGTGGGACCTACTTATTGTGGGATAGACACTGGGGCACCCCACACTGAGAAGGCCACTGAGGTGAACAGTAGAGTGTGCCCAGCCACTTGGTCAGGCCCTCCCTTCATGCTGCATGAGGGACTGTCCCAAGCCCCATCCGTGAGGCACACATCCTGTGGAAGGATTTCTCCGTTTGAGGCCTGCAGGTGGTCTGGGGTTCCCGCCCCCCAGATTTGAGGTGAAGGCAAGGTCTACAGCCTATAGCTACTCCATCCCCCCCAGTCCCACATCATGATGGCCCCAGATGTCCTTTCACCCTGGCCAAGGAATTCCCCCTTTCCTCCCATCTTGGCTCACCTGATGGGCTGTTCCTCCCTTTCTTGTCCCCCCTCCCTGAAGTGTGACCAGCCAGAATCACACTTCACTTCACCCCTTCCAGTGCTCTCCTAAGCTCACCATAGAAGCCTCTGGAGTGAGGACTCTCCAGCCACACCCCCACCCCACCCCTCCATCCCCACCCCTCCCTACAGTGGCATTCCCCTCAACCTCCCAGAGCCCTCTGGTCAAGATTGCCAATGACCTTTACTTACGCACCCCTTAAAGGAGGTGCAGGTCCCCCCTCCCATCTCTCCTTTTCTTCCTTTCAAGACACAGGTGACCTCTCTGTCCTCCTGGGCTCAGGGTACTCCTTGGCCCCCCGGGCCGAATCCACTGCCCCTACCTCATCTCTAGTCGAAGTGCCTCCAGGTTTAGACCTGGGCTCAACCCTCTTTTCCTGACACACCAAATTGTTCCCCACAGATAACTCCTGGAAGTCATCTTGGAAGGCTACACAGCCTCCTGGCTCTAAGGACTCTGAAGTCTGTCCAGGTGTGGGCTCCCATCCAAGCTCCGCCCTTTCCTGGGAGATGGTGGTTGAATGAAGACAAAATGATTCAGGTAAATGGTTACACAACTGTTTTCTAGCTTAAAAAGGTGGGTAGTTCACCTTACAAATCCAGCTAGACCAGAGCATATACACTGGTACAGATAAGAACTGGAAACACAGGGAATCCAGGACAGGTAAACCCCTCAGGACCAATGATGAGAGTAGCAATACCAGGAGGGGAAGGGGGAGGTGGGGGAGAAAGGGGAAATTGATCACAAGGATCTACATATAATCCCCTCCATGGGGGATGGACAACAGAAAAGTGGGTGAAGGGAGACATCAGACAGTGTAAGACATGACAAAATAATAATAATTTATAAATTATCAAATGTTCTGAGTGGGGGGAGGGAGGGGAAAAATGAGGAGCTGATACCAAGGTGTCAAGTAGAAAGCAAATGTTTTGAGAATGCTGATGGCAACAAATGTACAAATATCCCTGACACAATGGATGTACGGATGGATTGTGATAAGAGTTGTACGAGCCCCCAATAAAATGATTTTTAAAAGAAAAAAATAATAATGTTGCACCAAAAGTGGGTAGTTCAAACCCACCAAAAGGCGCCTCAGAAGATAGGCCCGGCAACTGGCTTTTGAAAGTTCACGTCTTGTAGCAATACGTCTTCCTCATAGCCTTCCCTGGGTCACTCCCCCATTAGTGAGGCTCCCCCTGACACCCCGAGGATGCCAGGTCACCCCTACACTTCTTTTGTAGTTCCCAACACCCCTGCCCAGCACACAGCTCCCATGGTCTTCCCCAGCCCTCCCAATGCAACTCGCCCACATCAGCCCTGCTCCAGGACCTCTGCTCTTTCCCAGGCTCCTTTGCAGAGAAACGCACTATTCCCCTATCTCTCCACTCCTCTAAGCATGCGGCCCACCCTCCCCACTCAGTCACCACCAGAGCCTGCCCATTTGCCCTAAAGACACTGGCTGTCCGGCCAGCGTGTCTCCTAGCCACCAGCGTGTCTCCTAACCACCCAGCTCCCTACAGCAGCTGCCTCAGTGTCCTGAGTATGCACCTGGAGATTCTCCAGTAGCTTCGGAAACTTGCAGAGGGAGCCCTGAGGAAAATGGTGCCCCGGTCTGAGCATCTGTCTAGTTCACCCTCTTGAATCCTTCCGTCCTGTCTCCAAGGGGTCTCCTCTTCACACATCTGGAGTGACGCTCCTGGTAGGGGACAGCTGTGACTTGGGACCACCCAGCATCTTGTGCCCTCCCTCAGGGCCCTGCTTTTGAACACAGCTTGGTGAAGCCTGTGTTCTCAGGGCAGTGGCTCCAGGCCCAACACCTGGAGACCAAGTGTGGCATCCATTCTCCACGACTGAATGGGTCCAAGGGGACGGTTGTGTAATTAAGGGGTAAGTTAAAGAGCCATCAGACAAGATGAAGCATGCAAAGGCTCACCTCTGTGATTGCTTCAGGAACCAGGTTTGAGCCGAGAGAGCGCTTAATGTATTCCCACAAGCTTATATAATCTTGGGCACGCAGGCCCCGGTAAGCACATATACAACAGGCATACACGTAACAGCACGGGGGCGAGCTAGGGGTATACAGGCAGTTGGAAGGGGACACACTAGAGGTACATGTGACAGGAAGGCACAAACGTAACCAGATGGGCAGGTTCTAGAGTCAACATGATAGCCTAACCTTGGTCATCCCTGAGTTGGCCTGACCTTAGATGTCTCTGAGCTCCAGGGAACAATCGGATATCCTTGTCAGAAGGGAGTGGGCCCTACTTAGGGTGGGTCAGACAACAGGGCCTGATTGCTTTTTTTTTTTTTTTTAGAACCAGGAGAACAATTAGCAAAGTTTTATTTGCTCATTTTTTGCATTTAAAGTATTCTTCAATAACATCCTTGGCTTGAGATTCTTTGCCATAGTCCTTAACAACCACACAACTGCAACCAACCACTTTGCGGGGTTTTCCTTCTCGGTCAATTTTGCAAAGGCCCACCCACTCTCCTAGTTTCTTGTTGTCATCCACCTTAATGAGGTTGATTTGGTGTTCAGCACACAGGGCCTCCACTAACTTGACATACACAGGCTCATCACAGTGGGATGCAAGCACACAAAGAGGAGCTTGGCGCCTCTTACTGGCTCAGACATCGATTTTAACTTTGTGCAGCATTGCCAGGTATAACTGGTCCAAGGACCTGCTGGTGTAGATCCAACAAGCGAGTGCTGTTTCCACTGGATTCAACTGCCAGTCTACACCAAACTGAATTGAACTGACATAAATTCAACTGATTTGAAAACCGTTTGACAGACACTTAGAATCTGCTCAATTAGTCACTAAAGGCATGCAGTTGTTTCGCCAATGTAACCAGGCTAGAGAACTTGACTAAACATTCCAAAATCTTTCCCAGTTTCTATCAAATTTCACAGGTACTTGAAAAGTCTCTTCATTGGATAAAACCTTTACTGGCTCCGGCAGATGGCTGATGCTTTATCAGGCAGACAGCCTTTACGCAGTTGACCTTCAAGTGCTTACATAGTAGCAGCCATGTGCTTGCAAGTAGCACCTTACAATTGGCATTATTTTTTGGGAGGGGACATCGTGGGGAATGACTTTCACTTAGGAGAATGTGAGTGGGAGGCATCTCCAACCCACCAATGTGAAGGTTCCCTCCATGGGAGCCCCACCCTCCCAGACTCCTTCATGTATGAATGTTGACTTTGTCCGCACACACTCTCTTCCCAGTTCTGTCTCCCACAGTCCAGTGGTCCTGCTCATGTCCTGACACACTCACTGTCTGGGCCCCAGCACTGGGTGTACAACACAGAGACAGCACTGGTTTGCTGGGCTCATCTGAGAAGCTGTCCTGGAGGGACAGATGCCCTTGGCGTCTGTGGCAGGGGCCTCCGCCATATTCTCTGTGAGCAGGGTGGCCTAGAATGAAGCAAACCTTGCAGAGCACTGAGGGGCCACGGGAGGAACACGAGAGGTTTGCCAAATGGTCCGTTGCTACAATATTCTTAGACTTCAATGTCCTTTATTGTTAGCCTCATAACTTGAAACCAAGGCAGCCGAGCTAATACAATTCCCTTTGAATCAAAATCACCTTTAATGTTTCAAAATAAATTTGCGACCCCAAACAAAACAAAAACACTGGCATATTTTCTTATAAGCAGCTGGAATGAGCACACTGCTGGGCCATCCTGCCCTTCTGTCAGGGTAGTCCAGGAGCTTCGGTCAGGCCTTGGGCAGGAGGTGCCTGCTCTCCTCGCCAACCTCCTTCCAGAGGAGCAGGGAGGCAGTGCAGACCTAGGGTGGGCCAGGGCCTCCTGCTCAGGTGGTTCCTTCCAGTTCAAAGGCGAGGTGCTTACAGGACTTCCCTAAGCCTGGGGCAGGGTGAAGGAAAGCAACCATGGCCACCCAGCCCCTACTTCTGCCCCCCAAACCCAGGGGAGAAGGGAGTGGAAAGAAGGCGCTGCACTATGTAGCTTCCATTAGGTGGTCCAATGTAGGACCAAGAGGCCTTGCTAAGTAGCCCCGAACAAGTCACCTGTCCCTCCGATGAGTGAGAACCAGCTGCTTCCAGGGGGAGAGCTGTGACATGAAGGGTCATGACACTCCATCTCTGGTCCACCCCTGGCCATCGCTGCCTGACTGCAGAGAGGCCTGCCCTGGGTTGGCAGGCGGGCTCAGGCTGGAGGAGCAAGCCCTGCTGGGCAGAGGGCTGTGGCCCAGGTCACACCATAGAGCGAAGCAAGTTTTGTCCCTGGCTTCCTGGTCCCTGACCTCTTTCTTTTGTCAGAGCACTTAGGCACAGCAGCCTCAAAGAGGACCCCCAAGGCTGGCTGTCACCTGCCAGGATACGTGTCACATGGCTTCCTATGGCGCTGAGTAGAGGCCAGGGCAGGTGGCAGGACAGAGTCCAGCAGGGAGTTGATGAGGATTTGTTCTCAGAGGGTCACCCAGGAAGCACGACAGCCCGGCCTTGGAGCCTGTCCACAGGACCACTTTTCACCCAGAGGCCCCTCTCAAAGGTGGCCGCACTCCGACGTGGCTGGCGCCTCTATGGTCCTGTGCAGGCGTTGTGGGTGAACCAGGCCAAGGGCTCAGACAGACTGTTACCTAGCCCCATCCAGGACCACGAAGCGATTCTTTTATTATATGAAGAAAACACACTGGGCGCAGCATGCACCTCCCCCATGCTGAACGGCTCACTTGGCAACTCCTTTCTCTTTAGACTCTGTCACTTCAGGGTGTAAGAAGCGGGTAGCCAAGCGCTCAATGTCATCCATCGTCAAGCGGCTCAGGGACCTTTCGTATTCCTGGGGAGAGAAGGGCAAGGGTGCCAATCAGCAGGAGGCTGGAGGAGGATGGGAGTGATAGCACAGGGCTGGGCCTCCAAAGTCAGGTTCTCACCCGCTGGAGCTGCTCCTGGACCCTGCTGGCATCTGCAGCGCTGAAGTGGTGGCTCAGAACTTTTGCGACCAACTGCCAAGTCTCTGAGGAGGTGGGCAGGGGACGGGGCTGGGCCTCGGCCTGTCTCCGGCCAGTGCCTGGCTCCAGTAGCACTTTCTCCAGGGGCTTGACCACTAGGTTGAGCTTGGAATTGGGGCCAATGCTGTAATCCGAGAGCCGTTTCCCATCTGCCCCAGAGAAATGGATGGAGGTCGTGACCCCACCGCAGGGGCTGCCCAGGAAAGTGAGCCCCCGCCAGGGCACCGGAGGCCGCCTTGCCACCCCGCCCCCGCTTTCCGGGGGGCCTCGCTGGTACCTGCCAGGGCTTTGCCCTTGAACAGCAGCCGCTGCTGGCGCACAGGGACGTCCAGGTGCTCGGAGACCAGAAGCTTTAGCGAAGACACCATCTCATCCTCCGACACCTGAAAGGGCAAAGGCAGGGGCTGAAGTCGCAAGCCCCCGGGGCCCTCCAGGAGCAGGTCTCCTGGCCATCCCGCCCCCGCGGGCCTCCCCGCCGGGGGCTCGGTCACCGCCCCTCGTCCCTGCCCTGCTCAGCGCCGGGAGCGTGGGGAGGACAGTGAGGGTGCGAGCTGGACCCGGTGACCCAGGTCTGAGGACACTACCTGAAGGGTGCACTCTCGGCCCTGGAGCGCCTTCACCGTCAGCTGCATGGCGGCACTGTCCAATTGGGATTGACGCGCACCCCAATGGCCCCCAGCCGCGCGATATCGCCACTGCCCCGGGAACGCGCCGGAACCGCCCTGCGCGCCCCGCCCTTGCCCGCCCTCTCCGCTAGCCCCGCCCCTTCGACCTGCGGGGCCCCTCCCGCCCCGCTCTCGTTGGCCAGCACACCCTGCCTTTCGCTGCTCGCCCCGCCCCCACCGGCCGGGCGGCCGCTTCCACCCTAACGGCCCCGCCCCTTCAGGCTGCGCGCCCCGCCCGCTGCCAGTAGCCCCGCCCCTTCCGGCCTAGCGGCCCTTCCGCCTCAAAACGTCCTCTCGCGCCGCCCCTTTCAGCCGTCGCCACGCCCTTGATCGCTCCGCCCACTCCCTTGCCAGGGCGTTCTGGTGTCCAGCTCTCTGGCAGAGCCTGGCGGCGGGCATCGGAACAAGAAAAAACAAGGAGCGAATTGGGCCAGTCTCCCCATGTGGGGAAGAGGCTTGAGAGAAGGGCTGGCTGGGAGTGTGCTCGCCTCCTGGCTCTACAGAATGCTGCACTCGTTTCTGTCGAGTGGCTTCTCTCCCACGTCCTTTCTAGTCAGTAGGAGTCCTGGTGGTTCTGCGGGTTACGCATGGGCAGCCTCACTGCGGGAGAAAGATAAAGCAGTCTGCTTCATAAAGGTGGGCGGCCTGGGAAACACTAGGGCCAGTTCTTTGTCATCCCTGGAGGGACTGCCTGCTTGTAAGTGGGAGGTTCTGCCTGCCTCCTGCGGCTCTGGCTCCAGTTCTAGACCAGAGGTGGGCATGGATGGACATGGGGGTAGGGTGCTGCTGATAGAAAAAGGGCGGGAAAGTCAAACTGGATACCTGGGCCAAGCCAGCCTCCCTCCCACCCCCTTGCCCTCCAAGCAGATGAAGGACCCAAGTTTGCTTTGCTCTTTTATTGAAATATAAATTCTGGGCAGCACCCAGCTACCTAACTCAGCATGGCCTCTTTGGCACAGAAAGCTGGAGAATACAAAATCAGTAAAAAAAATACGCCTGGCTTTTCTGAGTGCAGAGTGCATGAGCACTGAAGGCCTTTGGTACACAAGAATGGGGGGTGGTCAGGAGATGGGGCCCAGGAGCCTCAGGGCACTGGGACTAGGCTGCTGTAGATGAACTGGCCTATGACCAGGGCTAGCATCTCTGACGTGCCACTCAGTGCCACAATGAAAGGGGCCTGGGAGGCATAGTCAGCTTGGAGGCGGCGGAAGGACAGCTGTAACATGGCCAGGGCCAGCAGGCTGTTCTGCACCCCAATTTCAATGCTGACTGTCCGCCGCTGGGCTACAGGCAGCTTCAGACACGTGGCCAGGCAGTAGCCCACCGTCAGGCCCACCAGGGGCACCGTCAGGCCCACCAGCACAATGGGGAACCTGACACCCGCCAGGATGAAGACGCCCATGCGGTAGGCCAGGAAGAGCCCCCCAAGCAGGAGCACAAAACTGAAGGGCTTGATGACGAGCAACAGCAGTTGGGAGAACCTGGGGAGCTTGGACCTGATCACCACGCCGGCTGCTATAGGGATGGCGATGAAGAGTAGTGTCCCTAGGATCTTAGTGAAGGGCACATGGAGGCTCTCGTGAATGCTGAGCAGGCGGCTATACAGAGCGGAGGACAGTGGCAGGAAGCCAGTGGCAGCCACAGTGGAAATGAATGTCATGGTGATGGCCAGGGTGACGTCCCCTCCCAGGAGGAGGCTGAAGAGGTAGCTCCCCCCACCCCCAGGCGAAGAGCAGGTGATGATGAGGCCAAGTGCCAGGGCCTTGGGCAGCATGAAGGCCTTGGCCATCAGGAAGGCATAGAAGGGCATGACCAGAAACTGGCCCAGGAGGCCCAGCAGCATAGGCTGGGGCCTGTGCAGAAGCCCCTTCAGCACCTCCAGCTCCACTTTGCACCCATACGAACACTTGTTGACGAAGATGAGTGGAAGCAGCAGGTAGAGAATCGGGTTCTCCGAAAAGTGGGCCATGTCAGACCTGAGGGTGGTGGGCCCATCATCGGCTGGCGAGACCCTGATGCGGAAATCGGCCCGCTCCTTGATCAGCAGGGGCGGGACGGCATGCAGGTCCACCAGCTGCAGGCGGAGGGGTGCCAGCCCTGCCAGGCCGGAGTGGATGTTTACCACGAAGCTGCCCCAGCTGATGGTGCTCACGTTCCTGATGGTCAGCACGGAGGGCTCCAGGGAGATGACCCTGAGCGTGGGACGGAGCATGCTCCCATTGCTCAGGCCTGGGCACTGGCTTGAGATCACGATGACGCCTTCGTTGTCTTCCGGAAACTCGAACTCCAGCACTGAGCCATCCCCGATGCTCAGGGAGCAGCCCCCCACCAGTGGCCCCATCTGGCCCAGAGCTTTGGTCAGGTTGGCACGGGCTGGGCCGCACACGCCCTGGGGGAGGCTGATAAGAAGCAGGGTGGTCCTGAGGATGCGGAGGGGGAGGCCACGCTTCTCTAGCACCACCAACACCATGGCTTCTCCCAAGTTTCCGGGTGTCTGGCTTCTCAGTGCCTGCTTCTGACAAGGGACCATGCACGGGTGCAGGCCTCGGGCTCTCCCTACAGAGAGAAGGGACAGAGTGGAGCCTGGTTCACTCACTGTTGTCTACTTGATTCCGACTTCAAGTGAGCCTATAGGACAGAGTAGAACTATCTTGGGGGTTCGGGGGGGGTGTTGGGTTTCTAAGGCTGCAACTCTTTATAGGAGTAGAAAGACTTACCTTTCTTCTGCAGAGCGGGTGGAGGTTTTGCACTGCCGCCCTGGTGCTTAGCAGCCCGATGTGGAACCCACTACACCAACAGGGGGACAGAAGACAACTGCCAGGGCTGGTCCTGAAGTGCCACTGGGTCTCAAGTTCCCCACAGGCTGGCTTGGCACCCATCTTATACCAGAGGGGCCATCCACAGATATGAGTTACAGTCAGCCGTTGTTTTCCTGGGGCAGCTAGGGGAAAGATGTCCTGATCCCAGTGGATTTAGGAGCACCACCCCAGGCCTGGTATCGTTAGTATCACACCCCTAAACCCAACCCACTGCTATAGAGTCTATTTGGATTCACCGTGCCCCTCGATACTATAGAGTCTATAGGGTCTCGGAGACTGTCCATCATTACCGGAGCAGACAGTCTCATCTTTGTTCCAGGAGAACGGCTCCTCACCTCACTGCCTTCAAGTAGATTCTGACCCATAGGGACCCTATGAAGGCAGGGTAGAACTGCCCCTGTGGTTTTCCTAGACCGTAAACCCTTACAGGAGTAAAAGCCTCGTCTTTCTCCTGCAGAGTGGCCAGGGGGGTTTGAACCGCTGACTTTGCGGTTCCACAGCCTAACCCACGGCACCACTTTTATTCCCCTGGGCTGTGAAACACAGCGGACAGTGAGTCTGTTGCAATACCGTCAGTGGCTGAAATCCTGAAACAGTGTCTGGAGACGAGCAGGGGACTGATGGCGCCGGAGGAAAGCAGGCGCTGGTGGGCCAGCAAGGGGAGTCAGGCAGAGGCCAGGAAGGTAGCCTCTGAGTCTTTTGTGGGTCTCTAGCAGACACTTGGGAAAGGGCTGGCTGGCTACCTGGCCTGCCCAACCTGCTAACAGTGGGGAGGGGTGGCCTGGGGAGGAGCTGGAAGGAGCAGCAGTAAGGATCAAATAGGGTCCTCACACAACCACTGAGTGCCTTCCTTTCTCCTGACCTTGGCTTGGCTCCTTCCAGAACCTCCCCCGTCTGGCGGCTTTACGGTTTACGTGGGTCTCACTACACCTTTGTCGTGCTGGAGGAGAGTGAGAGGCAGGCATAATTGGACCTGTGTGTCCCTTGCTTATTGGCTCATCAGACTTCACGCCCAGCATATTTAGGAGCGTATTTGGATGAGGGTGCCTCATAGCCAAAGGACCGGTTTGCTTTCCTGCACTTCTCAATTTGGGCAGGTGCCATCCGATTGTCACATCACCTGCTGGAACTGGGGAACCTGGATGGAGACCTAAGAGTTGCACATAGCTATTCTGGTTGCTTTTCTAGTTCCTGGAACTCTGAGTCGGGAGGCAGGGGGGAAGTATTAGGCAAAAGGCTGGCCCCCAGGATGACCACAGGGCCCCACTGCTTCTGGAGCCTGGGGAAGTTACCCTGGCGGCCTCGGGCCAGCCTCACTTCCCACCACCAGAAGCAGGATGCAGAAAACTCGAGGCGCACAAGAGAGACCAAGTAGAGGAATTCCCAGTCCAGCTCTAAATCACTGTCACAGGGGTCAGTTTGGAGCGCAAACCGTGTCTGCCGAGGGCCTGCAGGACACTGGCCAGAGGCGCCCAGGGGGGAGGGTAAGCGGGCAGCGATTATCTCAGGGTCCGGGGTGCATCCCCACCTGGGAGTCCGTACACTGTCTCACTTCTCATAAGCCGAGCCGCTTCTCACGTGCGAGTACGAACCCGAGAGAGGGAAGGAGCACGCCGCCGCCCCGCGGGCAAGGGATGCCTCGCCCGACCCCCAGAACGCACAGCCACACCAGGCCCCGCGACCCTTAGGCGGCCAGCCAGGCCCCGCCGGCCCCAGCGGCGCCCGACCACTGGCCACCTCCAGCCCGACCCTGCCCGGCCAGAGGCGCTCACCTGCTGCACCCGCCCAGCCAGCCGGACGCCTAGAGCTCCGCCGGCCGGGCCCCGCCTTCTGTCCCGCCCTGACCCCGCCCCGCGCGGCCCCGAGCCCGCCCACCTCGCTGCGTCCGCTCTTGGCGGACGGGCGTCTCGGTTGGGCCGTACAGGAAGTGATGCGCTGGGAAGGGCCCGTGACGCGCCCCGAGAAGACCTGGCCTTCCGGGGTAGGGCTGGCGGGCTCCTGGCGTGTCGCCAACTTGCGTTTGGTTGGCGCCCAGTGCTGCCTGTTCCCTGCCCCAAGCCTAGTGTCCGAACGTCTTTCTGGGCGCCGCCAGGGCGACTAAGTCCAGGAAGTGGGCCCAGTCCTTTCCAAACACTGTGTGACTTCCGGGGGAAGTGTGACACAGGGGTGAGACATTGGCAATTTTCATGAGACTTGGTAACTGTTGCTAGGGACCGGGCAGGTCGTGGAGGGACCAGGCTTAGAGTGCCCGGGCCTGTAGCCTGAAGGTGAATCGGCCAACCTGGCGCCCGGACCCACCCTTTGTGCCCAGTTCTACCTTTATTGGACCCAGCATTGGCTGAGCGCCTGTTTCCACCCTGTGGAGCAGGAGTCCTCAAACTATGGCCCCTTGGGCCACATGCGGCCTGCTGAGGATATTTATCCAGGCTGCCTGTATTTTTGCCCCATTTTATTTTTTATTTCAAAATAAGATACGTGCAGTGTGCATAGGAATTTGTGCATAGTTTTTTTTTTTTTTATAGTCCGGCCCTCCAACGGGTCTGATGGACAGTGAACCGGCCCCCTGTTTAAAAAGTTTGAGGACCCCTGCGTGGAGCATTAGAGGGAGTCCTAGAAATAGCCCACCTTCAAATCGATTTGGCACTACTAGTGAGGTCCAGGAGTCACTGAAATGAAGAGGGATAAACAACTGACAGAAAGATGGGGAAACGGGTGGCAGGTGGAGGTTCAAAGGATGTCGGGAGATGGTGAGTCTGCAGGTGAATCAGCAGCTCTTAAAACCTTTTATCATTGATCAGATACAGGGATTGTCAGGCCGTCCCTCCCATTGAGTCTGAAACACTGCCCAGTCCTGAGCCATCCTCACCAGAGTTACTACATTTGAGCCTATTATTACAGCCACGGTGTCAATCCATCTCCACCAAGTGTCTTGCTCTTGCTGACCCTGTACCAAGTGCGATACCCTTTTCCAGGGACTGGTCCATCCTGGTAACATGCCCATGGTAGGTAAGATGAAGTCTCACCATCCTCGTTTTTTTTTTTTTTTTTAATCATTTTATTGGGGGCTCATACAACTCTTATCACAATCCATACATACGTCCATTGTGTCGAGCACATTTGTACATTCGTTAC